AAAGAAAAGTCAATTCCTAAACGTGAAATCGCTAACTAGGGAGGGGTCTCGAGGAATTTAGCCTGGGAGTCAAACCAACTTATCAAATATTCAGCTACCGCCTACTACTTACATCATACGCCGCCACATCACCCCTCCGTAGTCTGTAGCCTTAGTCGCATATCTCGTACCTGACTCGGGTTACCCGTAGGGCAAAGCCGAACGGGAGTGCTAAGGGGACTAGGATTCGTAGGGCCGGTAGTTTGAGCCGCGCCACAACGCGCCGAACTGCGAATCCACGTAAAGAGACCGTGTTTGTAAAGGCTTTCAAGCTCTTTTGGGCATATGCAGTTGCGAGGAGCCGCGGACTCGGCAAGTTCCCGTCGGATCAGGGCCATAAAAATCTCATGGGTGTGGACATGTTGTCGCGATACGCGATGGGGGCGCCAGTCGATGCTTAATTATCCGTCAATGTAAGTGGGCACAACCTTAAACGTATCATTGGTTCACTGTCGACCCGCGGGTTGTCGCATTGTCTCGCATCCATGGTGACGAATACGCGTATACGACCAACACAAAATCCGCGGATAGATCGTTCCTTACGAGTCGCTAGAACCGTCGCTAGTCTGGAATTCTAAACTTGGACCGCTCCCCACTGCCGCAAAGACTTTGCACATTTCGCCGGATTAGGCACCGTCTCCCGGGCTTTATGGCTTCGTCCTCTGGCCAATGGCTGGATTGGGATCATACGCGTACGGAGAATACCGCATTGTGCTTGATCAACGTGGCTCAGCCCTACTAATACTCCGCGTACAATCTGAAAATCTGCAAATGTCATCCCTCAGAGGCTCAGTCTGCCTAGCGCCAGGGGGCTTCTTCGTGTTGAGACTGTTTTGCATCGCAGCAACACTCGTATGCAAACACAAAGGGGTAAAGGGGAAGAATTCAAAGATGAACGTAAAGACTTACTTATATCGAGGTCTTTGGACCGATTATGGATGATAATAGAACACGATCAACAAGCTTCTACATCGCCCGCCCACAGCCTTTACACGAACGGAACACAGTCTTTATCGCCTTGGGATTGAAGCTTTCTCTTTCCGACGACCAAGCTAAACTTTTCGGCCCGCCCAAACTCAATTTGAAGCCAAAATATTACCTAATTGCGCCAAGGAAAGACTCAGGACTTCACGATGGCGGACAACAGCACCACAACAGATGGTGCCTCCACCGGCTTCGTTTTTTACCACTATGAGCCGTCTATGGTAGCGGCAACCGTCTTCATTATCGTGTTTGGGGTTTCTTGTATGCTACACATCTGGCAATTATGTCGACGCAAGACGTGGTACTTTATTCCCTTTGTGATTGGGTGCATATGTAAGTTATCACAGTCCAAACACAACCCCATCCCCAAGCATGACTCGGCTAACATTATCCCTAGTTGAAGCAGTCGGATACGCTGGCCGAGCTATGTCTGCGGGCGAAGCACCTGATTACACCAAAAACCCCTACATTATCCAGTCGATCCTTCTCCTCCTTGGCCCCGCTTTGTTCGCCGCGTCGATCTACATGGTTCTCGGTCGCTTGATCAACCTTCTCGATGCCGGGGGATACTCTTTGATCAGACCAAACTGGTTGACCAAGGTCTTCGTGCTAGGAGATGTGCTGTCGTTCTTCGCACAGTCTGGAGGTGGTGGCATGTTGGCGACTGCCAAGAACAGCGATAATGTGAAGCTCGGCGAAAACATCATCGTCGGCGGTCTCTGCATTCAGATCCTTTTCTTTGGGTTCTTCATCATCGTCACTCTTGTCTTCCACCTCCGCCTCTCCCGCAACCCGACACCAAAGTCTCTTACAGTTCAAACCCCATGGAAGGGTCTCCTCTACGTTCTTTACGGCACCAGTCTACTCATCATGGTTCGATCGCTTTTTCGAGTTGCCGAATACGTGGGAGGCAAGGACAGCGAGCTACAGGCCAAGGAGATGTACATCTACATCTTTGATGCGACACTGATGGGCATCACAGCTATGTCCTTCAACTGGTTCCACCCAAGTCGTGTCATCAACCATCAGGCTACCGGTTTGAAGCAAGTTTCTAGCTCCGAGGTCCTCAACGAGGGATACCTGATGGAAAGCGGACAATACCCGAAGCCGCAACAACAACAATACCAAGACCCGCGGTACGAGCCTTACCAAGGAGCCGCCGGTAACCAGGGGTTTCGTAGGTGAAAGAAGTCAACAAGGCGGCGTTGAAGAGACTCGAGAGACGAGGGTAGAGCTTCCAGTAGCGCCAGCGGGAACAAGAAAGCCGAGCGAAGAGAATTGGAGAGATTGGGCTTATGATCCGGTCACTTGACTGGGGTCTTTTTCTTTTGTTTTTAGTTTGCCCTTCTAGGGTTCTTTTCCCTTTGTTCTTTGGCGGAGAAGCCTGGATAGACTCATGAAACATGTAGGATTACATAACATCTGGTTTGGGGTTTGGGATTCTGTACGAAAGGTATACGTTGATGCCTTGGAGTAAATGGATAGAAAGCAAAGTTGATCTCACACTATGTACCAGGAATCCATTGTGACAGTCCCAGAAATCTACTTTTTCTTTCTTTACGATATGCAGTCAGTCGAGGAGTACCCAGGCCACACGCATTGCTTCAACTTCCAAAGTCTTCAATTACCATGTTGTGCGTTGCGCATATGCTACCTTACACCGATGGACATATCATTGACTGTTATGAAGTTCCGTCATTACTAAAGCTTCCTCAGCAGAACCTTCCTGTTGGGGTCCGGTTGAGTCTAGAAACTTATTAGCAGGCTGGTCCTCCCACGATGGATCCTTAATCACTTACTATTGCGCCGAATTCCAAGTTCTTGTATCGCTCCTTGCTGTCTCCTACGTTCTTAATGTCGTAGTTGGCCAGCGTCGTCGCCATGATCATCTTGATCTCGTTTACGGCGAAGAAGCGGCCTGGGCATGCGTGACGACCGTAACCAAAGGTTAAACTGGTCTGCCCCACGCTGACGAACTGGGCATTTGCCACAACCTCGGCCTGTTTTGAGCCGGTTTCCTGTTCCGTCTTGGCTTGTCGAAGCTTGTAAAATCTCAAGGCGTCAAACTTCTCGGAGTCCGGGAAGATCTCATCGTCGTTGTTAATGCCAATTACAGGCAACTCGATTACGGATCCGCCAGGGATGACCTGGCCGTTCGATAGAGCAAAAGTCTTCAAGACCTTGCGCTGGAATGATGCTGTACAGATGGTTAGTTGTTGAATTAGTTACTTAGCTGAGACTGTACACTCACTGGGACCAAGTGCATAGTATCTCATCGTCTCCTTGAGGAAGCTATCCAGCTTCTTCATGTTCTGCATAGCGCCGCTGGTGAACACACCGTTGCTCTCGGCCAAGGCTTGCTGGATGTCGTCCCGGAGCATTGGAATCAGCTCAGGCATAGCCGCCAGGGTGTAGAGACTTGATTCACTTCGTCAGCGTTATCCACGTTGCCTTGGCTATCGTATGTCCAGATACTTACGCATTGGTCGTGGTGACAGTTGTAGTGTGGATAGCAGCGAAGCTGATACCCAGCTGGTACCTAGCAAGCTCTCTATCATTCTTCTCACCAAACTTCTTCTGCGACTCCATGATCCATTGCAGCATATCGTCCGGCTTTTGGTAGTCGGGGCTTTTCTCGGCCTCCTTCCTTGCGGTCACCACAGGTCTCAGGAACTTGTCCGCCTCCTCTATTCGGTGGTGAACCTGCTTGACTTCCGGTGTTCTTGCTGCCAAGAAGGGGCGTAGCCAAGGAGCGATATCGGCAACCTTTCTAACGGCCTTCATCAGATCGAGGGTGTAGTTTATCGCGGCGTCTAAGTATTCTTCGTTTCGGCAGAGCTCGGGTCCAATGAAGACGCGTCCGGAGGCCATGGCGATGACTCGCATCATCTTATCCATGATCTTGACCTCGCTCCAGTCGCATGATTGGGGCAGCTCTGTTCGCAGAGCTTCGACGACCTCGTCGGCGATGATCGGGTTGAGTCGAACTGTACAGGTATTAAAATTGTTAGAGGAACTTAGAAGACCGTGTCACAGAGATATGACGCACCCAGAGCTGGTGTCAAAGCAGTCTTGACGGTATGGGGCAACAACGCGATATCGGTGTCTATACCTGTGTACTTCGCGTGCATTGACTAGAGATCCATCAGCGCTGCCTCTTTGTTATAGGTTCTTATTAGCCTGACCTCTTCGATGGCCCGGTTGAAGCTGAGGACGTCGTCGGGAAGCCTCTTCAGCTCGTTCATAAACTTCGGGGCGACGACAATATTTGGCGATTCTGCGGGTTACTTAGTACAGGTGATCTTTGCTATCGAGGGGCTGAAGCTTACTCCTTGCGGTGGTGATCCGGAAAGCTCTCTCTTTGAACTATACGCATTTCCGGTTAACTCATAATGAACACCATTGGGACTTGCTGGTGTCTGCCGTACCTTCCTGTATCCTTTTAGGTAGAGGTTCCTGGCCTCACCATTCATAAATTGCTTTCGCCGGGCTTCGGATCCTCCAAATTCTGTTCCTACCATCGGAATATCTGCCCATGGATCACTCTTCAAGACTGTTTGAAGCAAGTATGCCACAGCGCATGCAAAGAGGGCGGTGGCGGCGACAGGCCATCGCTGGGCTACTTCGATAAAGAGGGCGCCGTCTACCGCAGCACTGGCCGTGGCGTTCATGTTGGGGAGCATCGACATCGACATCTTGGGTGGTTGACGGGTTGCGATGATGGTGTGCTCGGACAAGAGAATTAGACTCAAAAAAGAGATGGGAAATAAGGATGTAATATAATCTCGCAGTACCCTCCATCAAGTCCCCTTGGCTGCAAGCTTGACAGCAACCACCGAGTACGTCCTGGGGACCCCGCCACGAGCCGTGACGAATGCCACCACCACAGCCGACGGGAGACGAACTACGAGCATAAACTAGTAAGTAGCCGGCGTGAAACTTGCCCGCGGATTGCGAAACCGGGTGGAACCGCTCAACTACCGGCCGGGGAAAGAGAGAAAGATGGTGGGCTGTGAGCATGGCTCACATCTTGTCTTCTCCCCAACCAACACCCCCCTGCGCCGATCAACGGGACGAAGAACAATTAGATGTGATGGGTATGAATTAGCGCTGCCGCGGGACAAAGGGGCCAGAGGCAACAAAAACGCGGGGTGAGGGGCGAAGATAGTGTGAGGGCATTGGCCAAGCGGGCTGACGAAAAAGACCGAACCAAGGTTCATCGAGTGAGGTTCCCGTGTAAACGAGAGCAAACGACGTTTCCGGTTTCGTATTCGCGAGTCTGATCGTCAGGAGGATACCAAGCGATCTGTGCGACGTGGTACGACGCGACGTCGCTTATTAGCCTGGTCGCATCGATGCGTTTCTAGAGGTTTAGGGAGGGCTCCTCGAGTTACACTTCTTCGACTCGTTCTATCGGGCAGAAGAGGACCATCTCGTCTCGGGTGCATATGTCAAAAAGCAAGTCTTTCCTTGCTGCCATTATACTCATTGCACAGAAAGCGCCTCAAATGTTCTCGGTTTCTCCTTCACTGGCGAATAGAGGCAGCCCTTAACTGTCATGCGGTCCAAGTGCGGACAATCTGTAATGTTTCGAACCCTTCTATTTGTGGCATCTTGACTCTCACCCGCGGCCCAAGCGGCACATCATTGGATGAAAGAATGAACATGAAAACGTGATGGAAGGAAAAGAAGAAATAATAGCACGTAGTAGGTACGGCCAAGGCCGGATAGTTGGTGTGTTCGGCCCTTTCAGTCGGAACATCAACATGTCGGATGACTTGCCTCGCCAAACTCCCTAATTAACGCGTAAAAATGTGGTGGCATCTCCCACCGGGAGTGCTAAGCCGAGAGTTCAAGAGTCATAAACTTTAAGAAAGCCAGTAATCTCCCCATCGAATAGCGGTTTGCCGGTTGAAGGATCTTCACTGTTGGCGCCCAACAATCTGGCCTCCCAAAAAGTTCCTTGATCAGAAGTTGTCTCCTTCTTGAAACCCCACGTCGTGTAGCCCTCAGATCCCAGGAAGACTCCGTCGATCTGCGTGCCGTTGAGCGTGTAATGCGAATACGGCTTGACCTCGGTGCCGTTGACAAAGTACATGAGTAGAGCGTCGTACGGAATCTCTGCGACCGCGAGGTTCTCCCAGGTATAGCCCGAGACGCCAGTGGGCACACGGCCCTGAATGCCTTGGCCGTCGACACACTGCAGCGGGATCTGCGCAACAGCGGCTTTGTCAAGTGCGGCCATCTGAGATGGATATAGTTAGTGAAGTGACTTGACTTTGGACATGGCCAATCGGGTGATGGTGCCCGGATGTGAACTCACGTATCCCCATCGGATGCCAGTCGAGCCGCGAGAGTAAATGGCGGTCAGGCCGTGATTGTCGAGGACACCGCCGTCGGTATCCTTTACTTGCATCGACCACGGCCCCGCTTGGCCGGCAGAAGCGTCGTAGCCCGGGTACGCGGAGCAGCCACCGGTAAGCTCCTTGACCGTGACGTTCCCGGCGGCTGAGACGAATGGTGACATGGCGATGCCAACGGCCGCAGCCGCAATAAACTTAGCGAGTGACAACATCTTGAAGCGACTGAATCCTGAAAGCAATTGGACGTGATAGATCGACACAAGGAGTTTGACACGCGACAGGTGAAGCTCTATTTGCTCAACCTCTGTATCGACAGATTGCCAAGATTTTATAACAAGTGCCCCTGGAAGGATTCTAGGCATCAAACGGCCTCATTTCGAACGCCATTCTCGTGAGATGATCCATTCCCGCAAGCGAAGGAACTTGGGTGGTCCAAAGCCGGAGCTAAACATGCAACGGCGCGTTCCTGCCTAATTCAACAGCCTATAAAACCACGGGAGCATCGGGAGGGAACAGGATTCTAGGCTGAGGGAGGGGGGTTGAGCCCGCTAAGGCGAAATTGAAGCTTTGCCCCCGCAAGCGGATGACGCTAATTGCCGTTACCCGCCTGTGCGATCTTGATTTCGAATCATCGCGGGCAAGACATCATGGCATCGAAAAGAGACAATGACGACAGGGTCCGGAATACTGAGCGATGTGACCATGCTGCCTGACTGTGCCTGGAATACGATGTAAAACAAGCAGGATAGCAACTCAAGCCAGTTGTCCTGGGACAATTGGTCATGACGATTAGGTGTCGGTATTCGGACCTTTGGGGTTCAAACAAATGGAAAAGCAAAATGTCAGCCCCTTAATTAGCGCTGTTGATCTGATCAGCCACCTTTCCCTTCTCGCATAAGCCACACTAAAGACCGACAGCCACTTCGCCCCTGTCGTCATTCTGCATGCTGTCGATCAGGAACCTCGTGATCCCGCAGGTGCTTGACTCAGGTGGGTATGCTAGGAGGAAAGACCCCTAAAATGGGGATGGAAACAGAGATCCCAGGTACACCGTCACTGAAGACTCATAAACGAGCTTACTGAGCATCTGGAGGTATAATTGCACGCGAGAAATACGAGGATCAGCTTGAGACTTTCAGACGGCGAATGGACTGCCATATTTGGGGGTCTTTTAGTAAACTTAGGTGACGCTCAGAGTGTCAGGGAGCGTGTCTGGCCCTATCGGATGATCCCCATGCGCATTTACCTCGCAGTCTACAAGGCAAACCATACAACAGGGGCGTGATGAGGTGCAAATCGATACAGTTCGAGCAAAGCCATCACGTGGCCATCAATCCTCCTTGGCCCACCTTTGACGTCGGCCATGATGTTGAGGGCAAGTAAGTTTCGCCAGGGAGCCTGACTTTGGCGGCACGCAAACGCGTCTGTCCACGTAGCGCCACCAGGCAATTGATCAGGTTAGTCAGCGAGACAAATTGTCAGAATCACTGCATGAGGGCACGAACGATATTGATCTCGAAAGCGAGTTGAGTTCTTCATGCCACCTTCTTGGTCGCAAGACCTGGTCTAAAGTTGCAAGGCGAAGCAAGACGTTGCAATACGTGTGGGCTTTGGCCGAGAACCCGTCGGCAGCTATGATATCGATGGAGAGTAATACTTATTTATTTATTTCATGTTACTACCTTGTCTGTGTCCATCACAGGAACAATGATATTGATGCGGTCAGTATTAAACCCAAGGTCGCATTCCGTCCTCCAACAATGCTCAATAGGTTCATCGTTCAATGAGGCATGAGCCGAAAATTAACCCTGTTGTAGATAAATAAGCTCTGCAAGCGACGAGCGCACTTTAGGTTCGCGCAGCAGCGCCGATTGCACCGGACTTGAAGGAAAGAATGGACTAAATTCGGGTTGACCGCAACGCAGATCGATGTTCTCACCGACCAGTGTTGTCCGTTCTTCTGCGATTATCCTGAATCTAGAGCACCGCGAGTCCATGTCCGAAAGTTACAATGTTGGCCCGAAGATTGATCAGGATGTCAAATTTCTGAACTCAGGTTTGTCAGTTTTGCACATCGTGGGCGTTTTCGTTAAAAAATCACCTTGCGGCCAATACTATGTCGACGAAACTTGAATCTCCTCATCGAATACTCGCGTCTCTCTTTTGGACGAAGGGGAAGCGACCGACTGTGACAATCACTTTTAAGTACCTTGTGACCGAAGACATTGAATCGTGACTCTCACCTCGACAGCAAATCCTCCCAATGCTGGTGTTCTAGAGGGATTAGCAACAGAGTTGAGCGCCAAACCCGTATCATTGGGAATTTCTTTGGGGAAATTGACATACTAATTAGGTGGAAACTTTAGCAGCGACCTGTGGAAAACTAACAAGCCTGAATTCAGCTCATTTGGTAAATGCATCAGGTGTATTCTCGGCTCAATGTACTCAACTGACAGGCCTCAGTCTGTTAGACTTGTTGCTATCATAACCTACTATATCAAGGTTCCTATCAGGCTATCATCTGGATGATAGCTGGAGCTTGGGATCATACTCTTCCTGGTTCATGAGTCACCATTCAAGCACGCATTGAATGAGGATCCATTTACTTTATGGGGAAGTCGTCACATGTTGCTGTATTGGAAGTCTGCTGTTCACAATTTCGAAGGTCTTGGTTCCATCAAATACAAGCTTATTCGCTTCTCTGCCCAAACTACGCACCTCAACATCTCATTCAGGCAACGATTTTGCTTGTGACTGAAGATAGAAGTTTCCTTCAACCGGAGTCATGTGGTAATAGCCTTATCTAATTCGGTGGCGGCGGGGATTGCCTGATTAAGAAGTTGGGGTGCAGAAGTTGATGCATGGCGCTTATCATCACGATGCAACCCCGCACCTCCATCTTCCCCGGTCCTTCTTCTACAGTCCATCACTCCGAGACAAATACAGTTCATGCAATCCTTGTTTTTCAATACAAAGTGACACATTCTGACACTTTCAAATTCCTCCTGATAAGCCATCAGTGAATTTGGCCCATCACCCCTGTAACGACATACTCTGAAGTCTGATCCTCTCGATGTCCTTCAAGTCGGAAGCCATCGTCGCCAGAGGCCCCTTCTCTGAAGGAAAATGGGCCATCGAACCAGTCACTCTTCGGGATCTTCGCTCAGACGAGGTTCTTGTTGAAGTTGTCGCCTCTGGTATCTGTCACACAGACTTACACTGCGGTAACACGCCCGATGATAAGGGAGTTCCTGGAGTCTACTACCCTCGAGTCTTAGGACATGAAGGTAAGTGATCTTATTCTTTGAGCCAACCAGAAAACCGTAGTGTTTCAGTTCGCTAACTTGTATCGAAGGTTCTGGATACGTGGTTAAGATCGGAGATGGCGTGACAAAGGTGAAGCCCGGTGACGCCGTTTTCCTCTCCTTTTCATACTGCGGAGAGTGTCACGTCTGCAAGACGGGACCGCCATCTCACTGCACCAAATTCTTCGAGATCAACTTCATGGGAGAGCCAGTCTTCTCGGATGGAATAGGCGGGCGCTTTTTCGGCCAGTCCAGCTTAGCCCATCACACCGTCGTCAGCGACAAGTCCGTTGTGAATGCTGACGGTCTCGGACTGACTCGGGATGACCTGAGAACCCTAGCACCGCTTGGATGTGGTCTGCAGACAGGCAGCGGAACCGTCATCAATGTCGCCAAGGCCGGTCCGAAGGACTGCATGGCCATCGCGGGTATGGGAGGTGTGGGCTTGGCGGCGGTCATTGCAGCAAAGAACCAAGGGTGCAAGGCCATCATCGGGATCGACCGAGTCGAGTCTCGTCTCGAGCTGGCTAAGACACTAGGTGCTACGCACAT